AAAAAAAAAAAAAAAAAAAAAAAAAAAGCAGAACTGTCTTCCTTATAGATTAAAACAGATTTGAGGGAGGATCACCAGGTTCAGGGGCATTTCAAGTCTCTTGGAGAATGTCCCAGAGGAAAATGACTACTTCTGACTTGCATCTCCCCAAACAATCCTCTCGTGGATGAGGTTTGGGGAAGCTCAGAATCTACCAGTCATAGGTGCTTCCAGCCACATGTACAAGTGGAGAAAGACTCGATTCCAGTGTTACCTGAGTCTCTCACCACTGCTTCTTGGTCTTCTGCAGACCTCACAGGGCAGCTGGTAGGCACTGCTGACCTGGGTTAGGTTATGGTGAAAACACAATGAAGAAAGTCTGAATCAGTGGTACCAGGCCACAGTTCATATGCTTTCAGAGGCCTCAAACAGGAATGGGAAAAAAGCTGCAGGAAATGGAAACAGAATTCCCCCAATGGCTGATAAAACTCAGCAACTCTTGCCTCTGTCTTTGCCCCTGAGTAGTTATTGACGGACACAGCTTCTAAGAGGCTGTGTCTGGACAGGGCGGGAAGGCGAGATGAACTTCCTGCAGAACTGCCTCTGAATTCCCTGACAGTCCCTCTGACTGCCTGGGAGTAGTGGCTGTGCCTCACCTTGGTGGAGCTAGGAAAAGGGAAGTAGATAAACAGTAGCAGGTTCTCCAGGGACCTGTACCATCTGAGGTAGCCACAGATGGAGAATTCTGCTAGCTCAGCACCAGGGCTCTTTCATACACCTGCTCCTTCCCTAAGAAATCCTTTGGAATTAAATACTCAAAGTGCTACTTGGATCAGGGATCTGGATCTGATCCAGCTGGAGCTGTCTACTCCTCAACCTGGACTCAAGCTGAGGCAGAAAACATCACAGTTCATGGTTAACTGAGGAAATCAGTACTTCAGAGAGAACATGAGTGAGGATGGGAAGGCTGAATAGCAAGATCTTTCTTCCCAAAACTGTCTGAATGATGCCACAGCTAGGATAACGGACAGCTGCATGGAGCTAACTGCAGACCTTCACAGCACTGATGTGAGAGAGGAAAGGTATCACAGATGCCCCTGGAATCTCTCCAAATTCAGGATGGTGCTGGTCTCACCACTATTTTGAGGAGTCAGAAGCTGAAGTGGCAACCTAGTATGGCCAAAGTATAAATTTGCTGTCCTTTACCCAAGAGTTATAAAAAATGTATGGTCTCACAGCAAGCACAGCCTGTTTCTTTTAAAAAATAAATATTTATAAACTTAAGGAGGAAGATTCAAAGAATCAAAGTATCTGTCCTTCCAAAAGCACAAATGTCTTACATTAATGAAATCAAAGGTTTAGTCCATCAACCCATAAATGAATCTCCCTCCCTGAAGCTGCTGTGCTGAGGGGCAGGTGGGCAGGGGAGCTCATCCTGGCTCCTGGGCCCTCAGTCCCCCTTGGTGATGAGGTCTTCGATGTAGGCATCCAGCTCATCATCTGTGTTGATGTCTATGTCCTGGAACAGAGTAGGGCAGGGTTCAGCCAGGGCCAGAAAGTGGTTGTGGGGACGAGCCTCTCCACCCTTCTCCCAGCTCCTGGTCTGAGCCCGACATCTTTTCCTCATCCCCTGTAACCTGGCTGTCAGGTTGCTGTCCTGTCTTGGTCCCTACTCCTCCCTATCCCTATCCCCATCTATGTGCTCAGATGACACCCAGGTTATCCTGCTCCCACCTGCCTTAGCTATCTTTCCCTGTCACCACCCAATGTCCAGGCCATCGCTGTGTCTTATCCAGCTTTGAGAACCTCCTCTCCAGGTTCTAACCTTTACCCTTCCAATCAACCAAAGTGTCATAGTGAAAATTGGACTATGCTACACACCTCCAGTGACTTCCCACTGCTCTCAAGATCAAATCCCACCTTGTACAACCCTGCGTCTCATACCCACACAAGCTCCCCGCTGAGACCAAGTCCTCTTATCTTTCCTCTGCCTGGAGTACTCATATCCCACTCTTTGCATGGTCAGCATCCATTCTTAGCTCAGACACCACTTCCTTAGTGGCCACCCTGCACAAGTGGCCTTCCCTAGCGTTCTGTCTCTTACTAGTTATTGCATAGCACAGCGTACCATTAGTAGCTCTGTCTCCTCCACCAGAATGTGGGCCTGCAACAACTGGAACCTTATCTGGCCTGTCTTTTTCTCCCTAGACCCTGAGGAAAGGACAGAGCATGCCCTCAGTTGTTTGCTGCCTTGGTTAACACTTATCTAAGGGGCACTCTCCACTTCTGGGTGTCATGGGGAAAAGCAAGAACTTTGTTTTATAGCTTGGAGGGTTCACAAACCAGGCTATACAAGGTGGGTCTGGCTGGGATGAGGCCCAGGCAGTCATACCACCTCAAGCCCTCCTGGTCAAGATGCTAGGCAGCCAGGATTGGAACCACAGATTCCTGTGAGCAGATAGAGTCCTGTGAGCAAAGAGCAGGAGGTGCCTGGCCCCCCTCCCTGAAAGACCAGGTGGTTCAGCTGCAGTAAGAGGGCTGCCTGGCTCACCTCCTGCACCTTTTGCAGGAGTGCTACAATGTTGGTCCTCAGCTTCTGCAGCTTCTCCTCTGTCTCACGAAGCTTCCTCTCAGAGGTGCGCAGGCTTTCCTCAGACGCCTTGGCCCGTGAGTCAGCACGGCTCTGGTAGGAATGGCACAGATTCTGGAGCCCCACTTCATATTGCTTGAAGTACTCTTTCTGTGGAAGGAGCCAGAGAGAAGAAATCATAAATTCACAGGGGTCACCAGGGCCCTTTTAAACAGGCACAGGTCCACCAAGGATGTTTGGTTTGAAGAAATTTCTCAGATACAAGGCGCAAGCAGTCTTTATGGATCTAAAATAGAGAGAACTTACTATCTCATGGAGCTGCTATGAGGATGAGGTCATGATCACCCAGTTAAAGCACTCAGGAAAGTGCTTTGGCAGACAGCAAGCCATGAAATAAATGAGGGGGCTATCTCCTACCATTCCAGATGTTAAAAAAAAAAAAAAAAAAGGAT